CGACAGAACCAAGGTGTGTCTGCATGGCAAGTCGCTCACAATTTTAACACCCGGTCTATTCATTCATTCCTTCGTTCAGACAAGCAGACATATCCACACGCCTCGTCTTGAACTGTGCTTCAGTCCTGCTAAGGGCCCCCGGCACTCGACCAGACTACATGTGTTCAAAAAGATACCACCACCCGAACCGAACCAAACCAGGGGCATGTTAACCACACCTTTCATTCGTCCATTCATTCATACATCCAATCATTCACGCAGACAAAGAAATGTAAGCACACGCGCCTGCCCTGCAGTAGTGTGGCCCGGCACAATGTAGCTGTAGTAGCTGGTACACAGTAAGCACAGTAAGCTGGTACACGCATAGCACGACCACCAGCATCTCGAGAGGCCTTTTCAGCGGCCAGCTACTAAATAATGCATGAACGTCACATAGAGGAAGGTAGCATAATACGAGCCGTCAACGATAGGACCATCACCGCCAACCGGACTGTGTGAACCTGTCTCCAGTGCGTCACGCAGCACACCGACTGCCTTGACGCTTCCAGTTGAGGGATCCATGTCGAGGTCGGCCAACCTGTCTGTCAGTGAATGGCGGTAAGTCAGCCACAAACCAGTCTGTACCTAATTCCAGGTTGGATAGAGCCTACTTGAGAGTGGCGCGCTGGTTCTGTTTGTCCTTGTAGTTGAGATCCTGGGACGAGATGTTGACATGGGGCATGCGCTTGCTCAGCGCGCGCAGTGCAGGGAAGCTGATGAGGTATGGCCCGACGGTTAACAAGTCAAGGCATGTGTACGCGCACGCCAGCCTACACTACTCACGCATGCCGACACTGCATCATACCTCGTTGTTGTGATGTTTCGAGCAGTCGGACGAGTTCACTGCGTGATGCATCTGCCCGAGCGTATGCCTGTAGCCTCACTCTATCAGCCTGGAAAAGGGATGTCCGCCGCTTAATCTCCCTGTCCAGCGCTATTCGATCTGCCCGCTCGGCGATCAATGCGGATGTGACCACCTTGAGCCGCTCAAAGAGCTCAACGTGTCCCGCACGCTCAAGTCCCTCGGCAGAACGGAAGGGGACAATGACACTTGGGTCTGTCGCGACTCGCTGTGTCGCAGCGACTCGCAGTGAAGCAGCGTCGGCTGAACGCTTCAATTGGTGATTTCTGTTGAGGGCCAGACACGCGGCACACGGCCGTACAGCTGCGGAGGAGAAACTACAGACAACGGACCGGATGGAGTCGATTTCGCCGTAGTATGCTGGAAGCTGATTCTCCCGGAAGAATGTATCCGCCTGTGGCGCCATGTCAGGATTCCCATGTGGGTTAACATTTGTCAGGCAGACCAACACGCTAGCCTTGCCTTTGCCATCAACAACCCGGGGTACCAGGCTCCCTGCATCGCCGCCCGTGTCCATGATGGCGGCCTCAATGTCCCGCGGCCCCAACACACCCGCCTGGGAACAGCCGTATAGGCAGGCGTAACATTCGTCGCGCAGTCCAGGGCACGACATCCCACCGATAACACGGCGCCGACGCTCGGCTAGTTGTTGCAGGAAGGCGGGGCGCGCTGGACGGGCGCCCGGCATGGGTAACGGACCGGGCAACGGCGCCGTGCTTCGAAGCCCGCGCTGCGACAACAGGTCTGAAAACATGGCATACCGGCATCCGTATCCAACACTGCCGGTGCGAAGGCTGCGAAGGACGCATACTTAACTCCACAGCTAGATCCATCGAAGCCACAAAGCGCCTGAACACAAAATTGTGGGTACAGGACCTTGCATGGCGCTGGGTGGCCACAGCAACACAAGTTAATCGTGTGCTGGCGTCCACAGACTCTGCAATCAAGCTGACGTTTCTCCAGGACTTCCATAGCAGAGGCCTGAGACTTCTCCGCCCCGAATACTTCCATGCATGCACCATGGTTCATTTAGCACCGTTCGACACAAGAACCTATGGTGATAATATAAACTGGCATACTTATTACAATGGTTTACCGAGATTTTTAGAAATGCTTCCCTACTGTCTAAATACCTTCAGCTTTTTAAAAGGAACACGCCTTAGATATTGCACAACAACGGCATAGAGATGTATAAGTATACCAAAAGCACTTCCAGCGCCGCGCACTGTCATGCATTAATGCATACACCACGCTTCCGTACAACAAGAGTTTGGTGCGCATGTAAGTATGGGTTGCAAGCATGTCACAGTCGATAATCTTACAATAGTATTACATACCTACCCAACTTCAGCGTTTAGCGTTGATTACATAGAAGATAGGTTACTTTCGGGTAGGAGTGGCGAGTAAATGGCCGCTATAGATGTCGCCCTGGAGGACACTGCGGAAGATGGAGACCCTCGAGACCAGCTGACACAAAGTCCAAATGACGCGGTATGTCTTTTCATGCTTTGTGGCTTCCAACCATGCAAATGCGCCATGGTGCACTTGCAGCCATTCGCCTTCACTCGGGGTTTATTTAATTCTCTGCTGCGTCTATAGTCTGATGTCGCGGCTCTCGCGACGTGTCTCCACGATGTGCTGGACGGGGACGATGAACGGGTGGATGCTGTGCGTCGTCAATTTGAAGAAGATCTCGGCGTCTACTCCGTTGGTGAAGCATGGGAACTGTTCCGAGGTGAGAGATTGATCACAGAGAGAAAAGCGCGAGTCCGTGCCAGAGACGTGGGGCGGCGATGTCCCCGTGCCGAGAACAACCGGAAACTTTGCGAACGGTGTTTTGAAAGACAGTGTGTCCTTCATTGCAGAGGATTTCCAGCTCTCCCCGCTTCGCACCGCCATGGCACTGAGAGGGAATGTACCGGGCCTTACCGTCTCGGACGCGAAATCCCTCTTGTTCAAGATCAAAACGGCATCGGAGGGGGCCGTGGAGGATCAGGGACACAGGGACGCGGAGACTGGCACCGTCGAGGACGCGGCGGAACTGTGGTCCCGATGAGTGCACCAGCCGCCATCACCGAAGCAGAGGATGTGCCACCCCGCGTCAAGTCGCGTGGTGCTACTGGTAAGTGGCGACGTGAGATGTGTGGCAGGGAAGAGTGGGCAACCTAGAAAGGAGGAACCCACCTCACCCCACCCACCCAATTGCATAATGTTATACATACCGACGTCTATGAAACATCATACCATATGACAACAGAAATGCCCCCCTTGTTTTACAACCCTGTGTAGGCGAGTTCAAAACGAACTGGTCAGAGCTCGGCGGTGTAGACCCATATGCCTGCTGCATCAGCGGCTGCATCAGGGGGTGGTTCATCGGTGCTAAGACTGGCAGTACACGGCCGGTCGCATTCACCAAGCAGTACTGCTGCTGAAAGCCGCTGTGGGTTATGCGTGGTTTGATGCCATACTACAATGGCCCGTCTGTTTTCTGCGCCAACGTTTGGCGTTTGTGCGTGGGCAATCCGGGAGTCAACAGCAGGAGGGAGGACCCCTGACATGGGGAGCGCGGGTAGCCAATCCACACGGAAGTGTCGTGGTTTACATGGGCCCAGGCGTGCAACGTTTTGTGTCAGTGTTTGGTTGCATGGGCGAAATACCGGGGGCGACTTCATGGGCCATGCCCCGCCCAACGGAGAGCTCGATGGATTAAGGCATAGATTGCATATGGCGAACATATTCTTCTCGGCAGACATCTGCATTTTCATTTGTTTTCAATGTAGCTCGTGGTACTGAGTTTAGCGGTGTATCAGAGATTTGTCATTGTTTCCACCCGAACCTGTTCATGCATACGAGTGTTGTGGGATAAACTGGACGAACTGCCGATGAAGTGTGGTGGGAAAACAGTGGGACCTCGGCGGCTGACTTGACTGGGTAATGCAGTCGTGGCCCTGAGTGCTTGCCTCCGGTAGTAGTAGTAGTGCCAGAGTACGGTAACCAGGTGTGCAAGTTTTCCCACTCCATGTCGTGGGATCGAAACTAATACGCACATGAGGCACTTGTAAGCGGTCCTCTTGCAAAGTTTTCTGTAAATTCCTTAAAAGTCATGTGCTTTTGGATGCCAGCCCGAGCCAATCCTGCCAACTTGACAGCCCATTCGACACCCTGAACACGCTAATTCGATACCCTGTCAGGCCAATTTGACACCCCGAACAGGTCAATTCGATACCCTGTCAGGCTAATTCAATACCCTGTTAGGCCAATTCGGCACCCGGACAGGCCAATTCGACACCCGGACAGGCCAATTCAGGCCCAGCACAGCCCAATTCCGAGGCTCCACAGCGCAATTCGAATACCTCCGGCGAGTCCGCCAGAACAATTCCAGACCTCGGCAGACCAATTCTTTTGTCAGGAATAAAATCCAGGCTAATTCTGCGACAGAGCTCCTCCCTAATTCCAGCCCGGATCCTACCCTCCTGTCCGGAATCGTTCGTCAATTGCAGGACTTCTTCATTTCGATTCGTTCCACGTTTCCTTGGGTGTTCCTTTCATGGTATTTTCCAGTATTGCCCAGCAGCCCTTTCTTGACAATCAGGGTATTTCCACTAGGCCGCACACTAACATTAAGTTCAAAAAATCTCACACCTGGCTCAGCAAATCATGCAAGCGATAAGAAACTAGTTAAATACATTAATAGAAAGTAAAAGTTCTTTAAAAAGATCGCGTAAAGGGGCTCCGTACGCGAAAAGCCGAAGGGCCCAGTGGAAACGTCTCGGACACTAAGTCCGCCTTAGTGGCACACTAGTTATCAGGTCCTCAGACCTGCTGATAACTTTCAAAGTGGACATTAAGTTCCGAGCGGGAAAATTCATAGTCAGCCATTTTCCTTCTTCAAGGCCCTACGTTGGCTTTTGTATTTTCCTTTATCCACAGCCGCAAATAGCCCGCTAACCAGTGGAATTCACAGCAGGACCGGTCGAATTGCCCATATTCCAGCAATTCGCCAACCAAATTGTAATGATTTGCGCATCAAATACACCCACTCTTACTAAAGCAATGGTTTGGTGCCTTTACAGCAACCTGTCGTATGGTTCTGGGGCGATGTGGAAACACCTGTCCACTAGCCACACACTAAGTCCGCATTAAAGATAATGTCCAAAAGTTAGTGTGCGGCCTAGTGGAAATACCTTGAGTGTCCATTCCCTGAAAGAGTGAGATGTAACGCATATGTCTGACATGTGGCGCATATATGTCAGACAAATGCGACATGTGCGCGTCCATTTCGTCTCCAGCTTGCGATCTAGGTCCAGTGCTCGGGCTGAAACCTAGGCTGCGTTTGCGAAACAGTTTCCGATTTATGATCTTTGTGCGAAATTTCGCGAAACCTCTGGTAACCTGCGGACATCTCGAAATGCTGCAATTGGTTATGTCTATAAATGGCAAACGTCGTAAAGGGCCTTACGCGCTGAGCCGCATGGCAAGCCCGCCGGAGGCGCACGGCTCCGTTTAGCGTACGAAGCCGTTGGCCAGATCCACAAACGCTGAAACTTTGCCTGCTGGGCAAGGCAAACATGGCCGTATCATTCTACTATTTAGCTGAGCACGTGGATGTGTTCATTAAGCCGCTTCACCTCCCGCGCGAATTTCGCGCGCCCGCGAATTCTACGCAGGTACGTAAAGCCCGTGCTCCTGGCTTTTGAGGGCCTCGCCAGGAGGCTTTTGAAGGCTGCCATTTGCGCGGCGCTCGTGGCCTTCGCATTCTGCTTAAATCGCATTCTGCTTAAATCGCATTCTGCTTAAATCGCATTCTGCTTAACCAGGCACGACCTCGCCTCGGCGTCCTCGACCCGTGTGCAATTTCGCTTGGACCGTTCTCTCCGGTAACATGAAGTTAACCTTTTTTTTATGTTGTGGCCTTGCGTCTAGTTCGATGTTACGCGACACAGGGGACTGTACAACCAATTTTGTTTGGCTCCTCACGAGCAAGTTATATTCATTCCTTTTACAGCGTAACATGATATTACTTATATATCCTCCAATGTTCTGTTTCCCTTGGAATCCTGCAGGTCCTTTGGTGTCCAGTAGATAGCGAACCAACAGTGTCCTTTACTGTTAACGTTTGGCCTCCTGTGAAACTGCCTTTGAGCGCTGTTGTTGCATTTAACACCATGAAAAGGATACCTTGGTGCTTCTTTCTCCTAGGTGCGGCAGGATTTGCGCTCGGTGTGCTTCTTGCCAGGTTGGAGTTAGTCCCATCGGCATCATGTCACCAAAAGGAAAGCGAGGACGCCTTCCGGTTGGCCTATCAAGCGGCTAACCAGGTTGCGGAAGCCAGGGGAGTCAAAGTTTTCGAGGTTGGGTTCGGCGTCAATGTGCGGATCCTTTCCTTTGGCCGCAAAACGTACGCGATGGTGTTGCCCCGCCGGGAATCCCAGGTGAACTTGAATCTCTGACAGCTCTGACCTGCTAATGCGAACCAACTTCCGGGAGCCTGCGGCTGATGTGCGGAGCACTGGCATAAAGCGTCTGGGACAAAAAGCTTCAGACCCATGAATGTCATCGAACTTATGGACAAAGCTGTCTTGTATTGGGCGAAGTATTCGCGCCTGGCCAGGAATTCGTGCCTGGCCAGCGATTCGTGCCTGGCCGAGGTCACCGAACGGCTCAGTTAAGCGTACATCCTTTTGCGAACGTGTGCCCAGGTCACAGCCCCTGAAGTCCCTGAGGCTATTATGAAGCCCTGGCAACTTTTAGTAGCATGGTTTACCTTGGTAGCTTGACACGTTGCCTTCGTCCTAAACTCGCTAGGGCGGTGGAATCCGGAAGAGACCCGAGGTGCAGTCGAAATTTTTTCACGCTATTGCGGAAAGAGAGGCGCCCCTCAGCTGGTTCTGGACGTCGGTAGCCACGTGGGATACTACAGCTTGCTCGCTGCAGCCTTTGGCTGCAAAGCTTTCGCTTTCGATGGTAACAAAGAAGTCCTGGCATATTTGAACATGTCAATTGCCCTGAATGATTTTTCGAACCGCGTCCGAGTTTTTGAGGGGATTGTATCGAAGGCCGCGGACGTCCAGTTCGACGGATGGAGAGCTCGCCCCAAGAACGTTTCGAATGCACCACCCGTTCCGTTGCACGCCGCGACCAAGGCGGTGGTGCTCGACGACGTCGTCCGCCAGCCCGTACTGTACGTCAAGGCGAGTAACTGTCACCATTTTGCAATCGGCTTGCTGGTATGTTCTGCCAGCTGGAATCACTTACTGCTTATGTCCAGAGGTTACCCCTGTGGGACCCAATGTTGAGGCGGCCGTAAGAGCTGTCCTGCGGAAAACATACCTCCAAAGCCCACTCCCCTTTATGCCCACCTACACTGATCACAATGGACGCGGAAAAAATAGACACCAGGAGAAGGGTGTTTTGCTGTAATGCAGCGAATTCTGTTGGTGCTGATTTGCAGGTAGATGTTGGGGGGTGGGAGCCGGCTGCCTTCTTGTCAGGAAGGCGGATATTCACGAAAGAGTCTCCCCTGTACGTCTTTTTCGAGATGACCTACTACCATTTGGGAACGTGGAAGTACGAGTACCTGGAGGTTATGCAGATGCTGAAGGCTGCAGGATACATGTGCAAGTCGTCCATTCTGCAAACGGTCATAACGCTGCCCGAGACGAAGTCACAGTTTGACGACTTGCTCAGGGATTATTCCAGCCATTGTGATCCCACGAAGGTACTCTACTGTCAGGACGAGTTCCTTTGCGTGCACCCCTCGGCCAAATTTAACCTTATCGCTTCGAAGCCAATGCGCTGACTTTTCACTTTAGCTGGTGGCTACGCTTCAAGGGTCGGTGCAAAGATTCCATTTTGCTGATCCCTCTGTTTACCTGTGTCAAATTGAGACGAAGGGTAGCTGCATGCACCTTGGTTCCCGCATTCCCTGGTTCCCGGCGGGTGCTCCATGTGCCCTCTAGGGTAAAATTTTATTTACGGTTACGGAATCGCCAAATTTCTGGTTTTGTAATAGTGAAATCAACCAAAAAGTTGCAATTGTCCGTTTTAATCTCTGTGGGATCGGGGACTGAATACCTTTGGCCGTCACCTATTTTTAGAACACGTGAAAATCCAGACCTATTTCCCGCTTGAACTGTCACCAACTGGCATGCGCGAAGGCAATTTTCGAATGCGTTCTTTGGCTCTCGCCAAATGGAAATCACCAAAATTAGCTTAGCACTACGGTATATTTTTTGGGGGGGAATTGATAGAACGCAATTTCCAGCCTCACACTTCAAAGCGTAAGGGCTTGAACGAAAAATATCAGATTTCGCAATAAATGACTTTCGCTGTCGTATGACAGAAAGTGTGGGTTTGAAATTTGGCTGGACGGCAGTGGGTGGGGGGTTTGCCTGGATGAATTCGAAGCCCCAACAAATTTCGTCAGGTGCTCAGGCCACACTTCTAATGTATAATGTGTGGGACAGGGGGCTCATATCTTCACCCGTGGCCGCTACCTGGCGAAACCCTACCTTCTCCGGTATTTCGGGGCACTCACCCTAGCCAACTAAATTGCGGGACCATCGTCATTTCAAAACGTACGTCGAAGTTGGCAGTGTGGTGGTGTATGTCAAGTAATTAGCACATCCCTATTCGATGAGGTGTGGCTAGTGGACAGGTGTTTCCACTAAGCGCCCTGGAACCATACGACAGGTTGCTATAAACAGGGTGTTTCCACTTGGCCGCACACTAACCCTAAGTTCGAAAAGTCTCACACCTGGCTCACCAAATCATGCAAGCGATAAGAAACTAGTTATATACATTAACCGAAAGTAAAAGTTCTTTAAAAAAATCGCGTAAAGGGGCTAGAAGGGGCTCCGTACGCGAAAAGCCGAAGGGCCCAGTGGAAACGTCTCGGACACTAAGTCCACATTAGACATAACTTCCGAGCGGGAAAATTCATACAGGGTATTTCCACTAAGGCCGCACACTCCCACATTCCCACATTATTTTTAAAGTGGACTTAGTGTGTGGCTATTGAACAGGTGTTTCCACTAAGCGCCCCGGAACCATACGACGGGTTGCTATTAAGGCATAGTTTCAAAGCGTAGGCGCGTTATGCAAGGCTGCAAAACTTTGCGAATGTTGAGTTTATCTTAACAATGTCTCAGACAACTTGCGTTGTGAGTGCAGACACAGAGCAGGTCAAAAACAAGGGCGGAAGGCCCGCTGATCAGACCGTTTGGGCTCACTTTGAGAAGAAAGAATATAACGCAAAGTCTAAGAACTGGATTATCATCTGCAAGTACTGCCGGATCGAGTTCAAGCAAGGGCGCCTTCAGGAGATGCGCCTCCATATCGCGCAAAAGTGCGCGGGTTCCGTCCGCATGAGTTCGGCACGAGCTGCAGGCAGTAGTGACCAAGGACGCCTGCAGCGCCTCGTCAGTGCCTTCGGACACACAGGAGCACGTCCCATGAGGCGCAATGGCACATAGGGCCCACTAACAACGTTTGCATACCATGGACGTCATAAAATAAAGCTTTTTTAGGTTTCCGACAGTTTCCGATGGTTTCGCGGGGTTTCGCAGGAGGCTCCCAAAATCGGAAACTATTTCGGCTAACGCAGTACAGTTTCGGCCCGAGCCCTGTGGAAACACCTGTCCACTAGCCACACACGAAGTCCACATTAAAGATAATGTTCAGTAACATACGAAAAGGGGTGAGACGCCTTGCAAGCATGATGTACGGTCACAGAGAGCCCTACAGGGACGAGCATTACAGGGTGTCTCAACTGGGAAGTCTGTTAGCGACCTTTTTAAAAATTCTCACCCGGGACGTCAGCTTTGCACGTTCTGTTTCGCAATATCACATATTCTATATAAATAAATGATAGAAATGCAAAAGGTTTGACGGAAGGCGGAGGGACGGCGAAGAACGTGGGGCCCATGTGCTTGTTTGCAGTCCAATACAGGGAACGAGCCGAAACGGAAACCTGCGGAAACGGAAACCTGCGTAAATAGGTTTCGTCACGCTTTCCGCAGCGAAGCCCAGATTGGCGGAAATGCGGAAAGAGAATCCGCATTTCCGCGTTTGCTGTACGGCGGAAATTGAAAAACAGATTCCAGGCATGCGTTTGCCATTTAAAGACTACTTTACACTATGGAGTTATTAGATTAAGTCAAATGTCAACAACCACTGGCCCCGACCTGGGGGCTGCCGAAGTCATAGAGATTGGCTGTGTTTCTGCTCAGAAGAAGGGTTTTTGATAATTGATTCCACAATGTCCGTAAACGTGGTTGAAGTTAAACAGAGCCACGTCGTTGCAGTTATCGTTGTGCGGTGCCATTTTTAGATACTTTAGCCCTCTCGCCTTTTTTATTCCTTTAGATTTTTTATTTTAAATTCATGTTGTTTGGACGATTACTGGATTAATTCACAGTTAGCATAGACTTGTCCGTGAGGCATGCAGACATGCCGGACGGGTAGGTGGAGTAGGCATGCAGACATGTCACTGCTCCGCAACGGACAGGGAGACGATTATTATTCAGTGTTTCAGGGCTCCCCGGGCCCTTACCCATGTAACATACGAGTGGCAATTTCTGAGCATCCCAGAGCAATCCGTCGTGGTATACGATAGGGCTGCTCAGGCCTGGGGTCTCAGGGTTCAAAGAGAGGCGGGCTGCTTGAAGGGGGCAGGGTGAACACCGTCAAGGGTGTGGGCACACAATAGTTGATCGCTTGGCCCCAGTAATACGTTTAGATGGCTCTACCTTCGAGCACGATTGGAATCCACCAGATTCTAGATCCCACCGGACAGAACCGCACTGCCACAAGCTGGTTTCAGACTGTCCATGTTATCGCCACACTGAGAAGAGCTAAAAAACATCGTTACATATCCATTTTTTAGTTTTCGCAGCTTTCCGCAGTTTCCGCAGCCTTTCCGCAAAGGGCCTCCCGATTACGAAAAGTTTCCGCAACCTGGTCAAGTTTCGGCTCGTTCCCTGGTCCAATAAGCCCACAAAAGGTAAAGCTCCCCCGGACCTGCCATAAGCCTTGCTAACTTTGAGCGCGGAAAATTTCGTAGTTTCTTTTTAAATTTTAATGTCACCCGGTCTTTGCTTTGCTTTCCGTCTACTACCCTGACTGCTTGCCGACTTGCGCCGTTGACCAAAACGGAAATGTCGCAGAACCAGTCGCCCTCGCCGGTTCCGTCTGAGAACTTTCCTGCTTCACTGCACAATGCCTTCATGGCAACCGTTCAGCAGCCCATGCAGAGTCCGCTGTCCCAACTGTTCAGCGCTGCCGATGTCCATGTTGCCACCCAGAATGGGCAACATCCCAGCGGCAATTTGCAGGACAACTGCCCTCCTCATTTCTCTTTAATGTTCAAGAAAAATATGCTCGAGCAGGAGCGAAGTGGCGCTAAAAGACGGGAAAATGATGGTTTCGGGGCTGCTAGTGGAAACAGTACTTTGTTAGGCTTTGTTAGCCATTGTTAGCGCGCCAATAACTTTTCCGGAGACTCCCAGTTAGTCTCTGATTGCGTCTCAGGCCTGATACTCAGATGATTGTGAAAATTTGCCAAGTAGTACATTGTGTTTAGGTTTATTCACGCTTAGGCTTGAACTTGCATTGCAGTGAAAATGGCGTCGAAAAACGATCCTCGGTACCTTGGTGGGCTTCACCTGGGCAATCGCTGTCATTTAGTCTGTCCGTCCCATATCCTTACACCTTTAGAACAAGAACTGAGAGATTACTTAGCGCGAGAAGGTCTGGATAAGTCATTGCTTACCTCGCTGCTTAAAGAGACAGTCATTAGAAACAGAAAGGGGTCGGACTATATATTTCGCCACCCTGTTAGTGCTGTCAATAGCTTTCCGAAGTCCAGTGGTTCGGCGTATGGGGATGCACCTGCCTATGAGCATGCTGGTGCTTCGATGCCAGCAGAAAACATGGTGCAGATCGAGCTTCGCTGTGACAAGCAGCGTCGTCTGGCTGGGTGGTGGGGTCCCCGGTGTCAGCAACGGTGCCATAGTGCAGTGCCAGACCCCGTGCTGTAGCCATAATGACTCCAAACCTCACGGTGCCACCAGCAATCCGTGCTTCCTTAACAACAACATGAAAGATCAGCTTGGCGCACGAAACAGGCAAAGGGTGGCGAAGGAAAGCATGGGTCTACGTCTCCTGCTGGGTGCCTCGGGTGTTCTAGGGAGGGAATTAGTGTGCCAGTTACCACGCGGGCGACCTCGGTCACGACACGGATCAGACCTCCGCCTCATATTCACATTCTTCTTGCCTTAATTTGTATTAGAGAGTCCAAAGTTCATTTGGTTTTCGTTCCTTGCTTCAAGGTCATGGTTTAACAGATGCCTTGTGACTTGACTTCCAACAGGAGTTATCCAAATTGTTTTCCATGACAAACATATTTCATATTATGTCATGCCGTTTCCGTTCCATTGCGGTGTTGCCTCCTTAACTTTAATGCGGGCTATGCGAAGCTTGAGCCGGGTTAGCTAAGGCGTAGGGCCTTACGGCCGTTTTAAGTGGTACGACTTGAGGCCGGCGATCCGTGTCCTCAGGATCGTCTTTTGCATAAATAGCGCGTGTTGCAGGTTTTCTGTATCTTGTTTTTGTTGTTCAGCACGCGCCCCGCCCTCCCACCCTGGAGGCCGCGTCGCCCGCCCTTTTCGCTCTACTACATTATTTCTTTTTCCTTTTGGTTCGGTGCGGCCTTTTCATCGATCAGGCCGTAAGAGCACAGCCAATATCTGTAACAGAAATGGCAATGGCAATAGACTCGTAGCAGGAGCTAATAGATGGCTGCCGTCGGGGTCAGATGGCACACACTCAATTTCGCAAGACGTCCGGGGGTTCCTGACTCGAAGTGAGGCCCACCCTGGAGTTAGTTGGTACCGCTTTCATGTACTTCCTCAAACAAACTGCTTCTCTAGTACCGTGATGTTTTATTTGTTATATTCATGCAAACTGAACTGAACTTGCAAGGCGCCACCGCAGTTGCCGGTGCCTAGAAAGCGCAACCGTCCCGGGACACAGCCTCAGGCCCAGAAATAGACTTATAGGAATACAGAAAACCTATCTGTAAACGGAAATAAACAAAGCCATGGAGTTTGTCCTGGACCCGAGCCATCTGCTTGCGCGACGCAATGCCAGTAAAGTTTGCCATCGCCACAAAACAGCAAAGCAAAACACACGTTGGTAAAACAAACAACAACGGGGATAACGGCTCGCCGGTCAACACCCTCGCTCGCGGCTCAGTTCTTAAAAACACATAGGGGCTAATGTATCAATACAGCTACCAAACATACACACCGCTATATGACTACTCCACAATAACACAGTAGTCCTCCTCTCCTTCCAGCTGAACTGCCGCCATGCCAGCCGTCCCCGCGCCGATGCCCGTCTCCGCCGGCTGAGTGCGCGCGCGCGGCGCCAGCGGGGTTTCGCAGCCTTAAAGGCCATGCGTACGCTTTGAAACGATTCCGCATACGGCTCTGGCTGACAAGATTGGGTGTCGGCTTCAAGGAAGCCGGAAAAAGGGCGGGGCCCCTCTGCGTCCGTACAGGCCGGTAGCAAGGGTGACAAGTGTGACAATTGATGGGTAGTGTCAACGCAGTGGGAGATGTGCTTTGTTGCAGCAGTGCTGATGGTGTGAGAGCTAAGCTTGCACCGGCGGAATCGTCAGCACCGCCTGCGGGCTCCACGCGAATCGCATCCATCCCGGGTGCATGCCGCATGGACAGTGCGGCAGACCGCAAGTCGGAATGCCCGTGCGGGCAAATGGTAACGAAAGCTGGGTGAATTTCGGTGCTGTCTGTGATGTTTATCCCCGAAGCGCCAGCGGCCTCAGCAATCCGCCGGGCGGATTCCGCCCCACAGCCGCGGGCTTCATCGGGGCACACCGCAAGTCTCCGGAGGCCCCGTGCATTGGCCAAAGTAAATGAACAAACAAGCAGCTTGTGTATTTCATAGAGAAATGAAAGCAAATTATGTTGGCCTGCTGGTGGCAAGTCGGATTGCACATGCCGGCAAATGGTAACACAAGCTGGGTGTTCGAGTTGTCATACGCCGTCATCTCAGAATTCCATTATGAGATACGCGGCAGTTTTCGGGATGAAATTTAGCGCGAGAGGCGTTGATGTGACTTTGGCCTCGGTTAATTGAGGCAGCCAAACTTGTTTGTGCTCGCACGATTTTTGTTGGCTACATGCGAGATACCTTGCAATAGAGAATGCTGTATAGTACCTATAACGCGTTTCAGCCGGGCGAGATATTATGTTTGGTCCGTTACACACACACACACACGCAAGCACGCACGCACGCACGCACGCACGCACGCACGCACGCACACACACACACACACACACACACACACACACACACACACACAC